AAAACTACCAGAACTAAAAGCAAAATTCACTTGGAGTCTTATTTTAATTTTACTGCATCAATGGTGCCCCAGAGTAATTAACAGTAATACAGTAAACCACATATGCTATGGTTTTTGGTGCATTTTAGCCATATGGGCAACTTAAAGGGATTTTGTTTTTAGGCAAGTGTGCTCATTTATGTGCATTAAATACATGTAAAAACCCTTACCATGATGCACAAAAATGTGTGCTTTTTCATTTCAATGCAAACTGCAAAACCAGCTACCACATTGTGGAATATACATAGGTCACAAATTAGCCAGTTTGCGGGGGTTTTACTTTCATAGATTATAAAGGCATTTTACAATGTAAATGGAGGAAGTGAATTAAAATTTTTTCCAAAATTCAAAATAACGCAACATTTTGTCAGTGTTTTTCCATGTATAACTTTTTTCCAAATATTTTAAAAACACTTTGACATGTAATCACAGCAGGGTGTATCTGTAAAGGAAGATTTTCAATATAAACCATGTTGGACTTTAAATTCCCACAGCTGCTCTTCCCTGAGGTTTAACAGTAAATTTTAACAACATCCCTCTTTCTATATTTTTTTTCTTTTTAAGTCTATCTGGAACATCAAGTAATCCTGAGGGCAGCACAAACAATGTCAATGCTGATTAGTTTCTAGAATTCTATCGGGGGAAATGCCTACTTATCTTGGACACTTATCTGTGATGTGAACCCATAACATAACAGGGGAAGAATAGAAATGACAATTCACACTGTGTGGCTGGGAATTTGTTTCCTGACAGCACAATTCTCAGTTGAGCAGATACAGCTCCACAAATAGTTATGATCTTTCAGTGGATTTATTCTCCCCACAAAAAAAATAATAATTACCAAGTGAAGTTCTATTAAAACATAGTCATTGACCTATGCTGGGGATATCTGTGGATAATGAAGCAAATGAAAAAAAATAACATGATGAGAGATGATTTTTATAACTTTCAAACATAAAAAGTTTAAGAATTACCATTACTCCATACAAGTCCTTAAAATAGTAGTTTCAGTGAGCCTCATGTAAGATATTCAATGGGTGAATTATAATGAGTAGGTATCGATATCGATACTAGTATCGATATCAGTGCCGATACCGAGTATTTGGGCGAGCACTCATACTCGCCCAAAATGCTCCGATGCCTAGCACGAGTACATCCTGTATCAGGAAGCCGGGCAGCGCGTCATTACACGCTGCCCGGTTTCCTGATTGGCCGGGAAGCGGCTCCATGCTCCCTTGTCACTTGTGATGGGAGAGCATGGAGCCGACTTCCCGGCCAATCAGGAAGCCGGGCAGCGTGTGATGACGCGCTGCCCGGCTGCCTGATTGGTCGGGAAGCTGGCCAATCAGGAAGCCGGACGCCGTGTAATGATGCAGCGCCCGGCATTGTGATTGGCAGAGAAGCTGGCTTCATGCTCCCTCTTCATCTCATGACGAGGGAGCATGGAGTCGACCTCCCAGCCAATCAGAATGCAGGGAGTCATGTCATTACACGGCGCCCGGCTTCCTGATTGGGCGGCCAGACGACTCCGCCTTGGTACCGGAGGAAGGCCACGTTCTGGCTGGAGCGGCCCCGAGGGTGACAGGCTGGACATACCAAGGTAAGAGGGGACTTTCTTGTTATCGGAAAGCCGGGTGACAAGTCTTTACACGCTGCTCGGCTTCCCGGCTAATCAGGAAGCCAGGTGGCGAGTCATTACACACCACCTGGCTTCCTGAATGGGACTTCCGTTACTTGGAAATTGGTATTAGCGAGTACCGAAAAAAATTATCGGTACTCGTACTCTGTACCAAAATGCCGGTATCGGTGCATCCTTAATAATGAGTGTATCTCAATAATGTTTTAATTCTTTAATGTTTGTTAAATATTTTGCCCTTGAATTCTGGGGTAAAGTATTGTTCATTTCTTTTCTGTACAGCAGTGTATCCAAACTGCAGTAGAGCACTGCCGTGCCAGGACAATTGTTGTAAGAAAAACGTCCACCCATTCTTTGACAGGCAATTTGGCTTTTGGTAGAAGGACTGATCTATCCGTGATACATGGCAACGCATAGGCTACCCACAATCAATCAGCCCTGTTTAATTAAGAGGCACTGTTCACAGTGACCTATATATGTACTAAAGTTGAAATGCAAAGAGCAGTAACCCAAAAAGTTACTATCCTTTGTACCTCATCGATACTTTCTAAAATGGACTTTCTAATCTAACCAAACCTTAATAATTTAGTTCTTATTCTTCTGTGCAATAGCTTTATTGTTTGCCAATAAAATTGGCAAACACAATTCAGCCAAGTCTAACAGGGCTATTCACAAAAGGGTGAAGAGTTCGGAAAAGGCAGGAGAAGTGAACAATCTAGGCAAAAATAGCTGATTTGGAAAATTTCTCCAATTCAACTTACTTTCCAGTTCAGCTATGTTGTCCTAGATTGTTCACTTCTCCAGACGTGGTATTGTGATAGGTTGCCATCTCTGCGATAAGTCCATCTGTGAAATGTCCTTGCTACTAAATACTCCACAGTCAACTGTTAGTGGTATTATAACAAAGTGGAAGCAACTGGGAACAACAGCAACTCAGCCACAAAGTGGTAGGCCACGTAAAATGACAGAGCGGGGTCAGCCCATGCTGAAGCGCACAGTGCACAGAAGTCACCAACTGTCTGCAGAGTCAGTAGCTACAGACCTCCAAACTTCACGTGGCCTTCAGATTGGCACAACAACAGTGCATAGAGAGCTTCATGAAATGGGTTTCCCTGGCCGAGCAGCTGCATCCAAGCCTTACATCACCATGTGCAATGCAAAGCGTCGGATGCAGTGGTGTAAAGCACGCCACCACTGGACTCTAGAGACGTGGAGATGTGTACTCTGAAGTGATAAATCCCGCTTTTCTGTCTGTCAATCCGATGGATGTGTCTGGATTTGGGGGTTTCCAGAACGGGACTTGGCTGACTTCATTGTGCCAAGTGTAAAGTTTGATGGAGGGGGGATTATGGTGTGGGGTTGTTTTTCAGGGGTTGGGCTTGGCCTCTTAGTTCCAGTAAAGGGAACTCTTCAGGCATCAGCATACCAAGACATTTTAGACAATTTTCATGCTCCCAACTTTGTGGGAACAGTTTGGGGATGGCCCCTTCCTGTTCCAACATGACTGCGTACCAGTGCACAAAGCAAGGTCCATAAAGACATGGATGAGTGGGTTTGGGGTAGAGGAATTTGACTGGGCTGACCTCAACCCGATAGAACACCTTTGGGATGAATTAGAGCGGAGAACTGCGAGCCAGGCCTTCTCGTCCAACATCAGTACCTGACCTCACCAAAGCGCTTCTGGAACAATGGTCAAACGTTCCCATAAACAAACTCTTAAACCTTGTTAAAGCTGTTATAGCTGCAAAGGGTGGCCCAACTCCATATTGAACCCTATGGGCTAAGACTGGGATGCCATTAAAGTTCATGTGCGTGTAAAGGCAGGGGTCCCAATACAATTCATTTTGCAACATATATGGAAGTTTGTTCTCTCTGATAAATTGCCTATTTATTTTTTTATATTCTTAAATTCTCTGTTGCTTTAGTTTAATTAACCAACTGCCACATAATCCTAAAGTATATCTTCACACAGGTAACATATAAGCTCTGAGAAGGACCTTTTTATTTGCAGGTAAAATTGCCTTCATTTTCTGAATACTACTGCAAAAAATACTGGGCCTTTTACAGAGAATGATATGCTTTGCTTTCTATAAAGCTAAGCAGAAAACAGCCTCAAATGCATTTAACCATCAGCAACAATTACATTCATTTTGCTGTATTCAATGCTGTTTTCAAATTACTCTTTTTTTTCTTTTTTTAATGGTTCTGAGAAAAGGGTTCACAGTGAGAATCAATGCTTTGTATATCACAGGTAGGAAGAGTCCCTTCATTATTAATTATCAAGAGAAAAAGAAACATAAGCTAGAATAGAGAGCAGCAATTATTCCACTCTGAGGTCCTCATTAATTTGAAAACTTCTGTGGTTCCAACACACTCTGTTACATTTCCCTACTGTTCGCACCACTGTGTCCTTCCCATTCTTGACACCTCATCGTTTCTTTCACCAGACTGCATGTAGTAACCATGGCAATTCCTGTAGAGTCGTTACTCTCATAGGAGAATCAAACTACATCGTGATATGGAAAATAGTCTATTGAACATATGCTCTGAACATCTCATTAGCAACGATGTCCAGAAATATTCCCTATCCTGGCTTTCTAATATGGAACCTGTCTAAAACTGTAGGTCACATCTCTCCTACCCATCAACTTTTATCAAGGGCAACTCTTTTGGTGCAGAGAGATGAGTTGTCATGTTTTTGCAGTTTTAAGCAGATGAGAAGAGTAAAAGCATGTGTTTATGTCGTGGTACAGAAAGCAGGACTGGAGTTTTGCCAGCTTCTGGCTCTCCCAAGCACATGGTGTTATGTTTTGTATAGCCACAGTCATCTGGCAAAGGACAAAACAAATACAAAAGAAAAACAAAGAAAGCACCAAAGTAGAACACAAAGGTCAACTCTCTATAATTGTTTACCAGTATTCACGTTTCTAGAATACAGTTTTTACTTTATTATACTGTATGTAATAGAAGCAGACACCATTTACCATGTGACTATTCCATTCATTTTCCAGTGATGCTTTTAAAAAGACAGTATGAATATAGTTGCTATGGCTAACACAGGCACTTTTTAAATTAAGCCTATGGACACACCAGCATGTATGAAGCCTATAGACCCGCCATCTCCTGTGCTTTGTATAAACAAAAACAGTGGGCTGTATGCATCTAAACCAAAAGTGTCCTTGTTATCCAGACAAACCAACCTGTAGCTTCCATTTGCCACCCACATTTGATTTATGAGGCTAGGTGAAACCTATTTTGATATCACATTTGCTTGACTGTAAATTATCTTTCAAAGGAATCACATAGTGGATAGTGCAGAACTCACCTGCTTCTCAGACATAACAAAAAGCTGCTCTTCATTCTTTGTAAATGCCATATCCCGTAAGATAGGGCCAGAGTCCACCACTTGTATGATTTCATATTGGAAAGCTCCAGTGATAGGGCCATCAACGCGTATCTGAAACAGATAGCAAAAAAAGTAATGTAGGTATATTAAAATAAAATAAGTGTTAAAAAAAGTAGAACATTTGTGCACACCAAACTTGTGAGGACGCACTGAAAAATACTGCATATGTTGCTGTTGCACAAAGCAAAGTACTAAGTTATGGGCACAAGCAAATTGCTGACATAGCAGAGAGATGATAATGGAACTGTTTCCAGCACAGAGAGATATACTAATTATTTATTACATGTCAACTGACACACAAAAAAAAGATGGAGAACCACAGAAGAGAAAGCTAAAAAGAAAACCAGCTACAAGTGAGCAAAATATTTAAACTACATGGTGCTTCCACCTGATTATAGCTACCTTATAAGTAGGTCTTCCTGCACAGCAAGCATTGATGGAGTCAAGGCTCAAAGACACTGAACACATCTTTTCAGTATTCTGAGATTTTGTATATTACAAAACTCTATATCTATAACATAATAGGGTCCCTTAAAGAGATAATATATAGCAGCCCTCTATGAATGATTGGACAGCACTTTTTTTTTCATATGACAACTGGGCTGTGTGTGTGTCCTGACAATGATCACAGTGGTTGATCTCAGAACATCAGAAAAGGGGAATGGCCAGTCTTTTTCACATACATTTCTATGCAGTATGTATGTGTGCAGTAAAGCAGTAAAAATGCTGGATTTTGTAGCTTGCAGACCCTAGGCACCTCATATGTGTATACACTGCCAATCTGTCAGAACACCATACTTTTTTTATACAGATAAGGTCCTGACACACTTACAAGTGTGAGGTTTAGCAATAAATGTCCTCACTTCACTTTCTGTATGGCTAACCTTCTATAACTGTAATTGTACAAGTAACACAAAGAGAGCTTTTAAAAAAAAGTTTCACTGTCACCCCAAAGTACATTAACAACTACAGTCTGTACTAGGTGAATTACTAAGTAATTCACAGTTCCAAAATTTTAAATAGATACTGCATTTTCACAGCAACAAGCCCAAGCTGGCTGCCCTTGAGCTAGATGCGAATATGAATGTTACTGTTATATTCATACTGGCTCTAAAAAAGTTAGGTAGGTCACTTATAAAAAATATTTGTCAGCACTTTTTAAAACTTAACTTGCCAAAAATGTCTCATAGTCCCTAATCAGTTTATAAGGATGTAAAACTCAAAGTCATGAAAGCATAACTCAGCAGGGAAAGCTGCCTGATTGACATTTTTGTTACAAATGTAAATGACCTCACCAACTGCATGGTCAGAGTAAGAAATGTTCAGGGAAACTACAAAAGAACAGAAAAAAATATGGACCAATATTTTATTAAAGATGTCCATGCAAAAATATTAAAGATTATCACAAAGCAAAGCAAAAGACTGTAGTGGGATGGGATCTCCAGTCCTGGGGCCTGGTGTTGTCAGTTGCCAGGTTGGGCTGAACAGGTGGCTGAGAGCAGCCTTATTAGGAAGCCAGCCCAGTGCTTTGGAGAGAGTTGTGGGTGTGCAGGAAGCACACGACCACGGGCAGACTCTGCTCCGTGCGTGAGCACAAGGGACACAGCCAGGAAGGCTGGAGAGGTCCAGAGGGTTGGTGACCCTGAGATACCTGAGTCACTTCAATATGTGTACACGTAAACTCATTCTTTGATTCCTTTGATTTATTCTAAGCTTGATTTATATATTGAATGTATGTCAACAGTCTGCATCCATGATAATGCAGTTTATTGAATAACTTAACAAATGAGTATGTAAGCAATTAATCTTGCAAATATTTCTGTTTAAGAGACATCAAAGTATATGTAAACCCAGCCAATAAAAACCATATACATTTTAATGTTCATGTAATTCCAAAAGCCAATATTTTAAGGCTACATTCACACCTGTTAAGTGAAATTTGGTATTCTTGCATCAGGAACTTGTGAATTCATAGTTACATAGTATTTGAGGTTGAATAAAGACATTAGTCCATCAGCAGGAATTCCAAATTTTCCATTTACAAGTGGCAGCTGTCACTCACTCACAAGTTAATGATTGCGTGACAATGGCCGCATTTGAAAGTGGCAGAATGCTTGCACACCGCATGTAGTTGTATGTGATAGCTGTGGAGTTCTTGATGCAGGAATCAGAAATCACCCCTGCTTGGTAGGTGTGAATGTAGCCCAAATTTGCAGCTTTCATTAACCACTTCCAGCGGGCTCACGTAAATGTGCATCCTCCGCTGGAAGTGGTCATACCAAGAACACGGCTGCTGCACTGTTTTAAACAGCCGGCGATTGCTGATTAAATACAAGCAACCCAGCATCTGTACAGGTGCTGGATCGCTTGTACAGTGGTGCGGCGTGTGCCACCCCCCTCAGCCGCCGCCGGCTTCCCGGGCTCCACTGTCCCTCTTGTGAGCCGGGCACCGGCACGGCGGGTCTCCCCTGATGGATCTCTCATTCCGATCACTGGACCTGGAATTGACGTGCATTATATCACCTCCGGTGTCACTGGGCACATTCTCTTGTTTGTGCACTTCCTGTTATATGGCAACAACTTTCTGTGCCCATCTCCCTAGATATACACCTGCATTTCCACCCTATCAGTAGTCATATCAACATATGTTGCAAAGGCATGGCCCACCATCAGGAAACCTGCACAAATAAATGTCATGCAGTCATTAAAGCATGTGGTGTAGTGCATGCAAATAGACATGAAGTGGCTACAAAAAAAAGCTGTAGAACGTCAACAGCATTGAGATGCAACAAAAACAGAATAAGGTGAAACCAAGTATTGCATTGAAAAATAATGTCCATTGTTTATCACGTATAGTGTATTAGCAAGCCTAATGTCACTCGGTTAGGGCTTACATCTACTTTAATTATGTTACTAATAAAAAGATTTTTATTGCTTATTAAAAGCTACTACACCTAGATGTTAAGTTGTCTAAAGCAAAATCAAAAGAAGTATGCCAAAACAAAACTGCAGACTTGTAGAATATTATGTATATAACTATGATGCTACAAGACTTGAAGCACAGTAAGCTATGTAAGCGTGTGAGAAATAGGCAGAGTTTGATCACAGCAGAAGTGAAAGTAAGATGCCTACTGAGAGAACATCTGCTTTGCGTCTAGCTTTGTGTTCTCAAGTTGCCTCTAGTGAACCAGACCCAAGTCTCTAACCTGAAAACCGCTTCACTGCTGCCAGTAACTGACTATGTTTTTTTTTTTTTTTACGGATGGTTGAAATGACTGGTGCATGAGACAAAAGTGTTCTTTCAAATGGCTGAGTTAAAAAACATGAGGGATTTTCTTATATACATATACAAATACAGGTGAAACTGGAATAATTAGAATATCGTGCAAAAGTAATTGCAGTAAGTGCTGCAAAAGGGGCCCAAACCAAGTACTGAGTACATATGCATGCTTGTACTTTTCAGAGGTCCGATATTGTTCTATGTACAATCCTTGTTTTATTGATTGCATGTAATAATCTACTTTTTTGAGGTTGTGGATTTGGGGTTCTTGGGGTTTAAGCCATAATCATCACAATTATGACAAATCACGGCTTGAATTATCTTGCTTTGCATGTAATGAGTCTATCTCATTGTAAGGAGCCCCTGCTCGCTCGGTTCCACTCTCCCGGCACTCCTCTGCTACTAATGGATCAGATGTCAGACCGCAACGTCTGCTTCGTCGATCGTCCGATAATCCGGGATTCGAACTACAGCTATGTGCCGTTCGAATCCAGCTCAGAACAAACACCAGACAGGCTGTATGTAAGTTCCAACAAGGATCTGCTTTATTGAATGCACACACACACTTTTATACACAACAGTTTGAACAACCCGCCCAAACAAACACCTTCCTATTGGTCATGCAAATGAAGGCTTGAAACAGAGTCAGCAGGGATTGGTCCGATAACTTGAATGGGAGGGCTGATATGTGTGGCCATGCAAAGGAGGACTTGAAACAGGGTCAGCAGGGATTGGTCCGATAACTTGAAGGGGAGGGCTGATATGGGTAATGACACAGAGAAGTCCCAGGAGATAATTACATTACATAAACAATCAGTCAAACACAGAACAATGCCTTCCTTCCAGACCACGGAGCCGTTTGGAGGAGATTATCCTTAAGACAAACTGTGAACAATGAAACAAACACAGAGTGATTCAACCCTAAGACAGGGTGGAGGACCCACCACTGTGTAATATAGTCAAGGAAACATGGTTCAGTATTCCAAGGACCATGACACTCATATATTAGTTTCACCTTTTAGTTGCATTAGTGAAATAAATGAACTTTGCACGATATTCTAATTATTCGAGTTTCACCTGTATATGTACATATACATACATGCAAAAACAAGATTCCAAACTGAAACTTTGAAGTTAAACAAGCTATAACACTGCGTTACTATGTTAGTCAATGTTAAAAGCATTGCAGGTTATAACTTTGCAGAAGGCAGGCAGGGAACAAAAGAAGCCAATCATTAATTTGCATAAAAACTATTTATTGCAAACAATATAGAGAAAGTGAAGGTCTGGTTTAGCTGTTATGATTAAGCAAACATGCATGCAGAATGTTTATTGGTGAACAAAGTGGAGTTATAAAATGCATATCTAGGCATGCCTGCCAATATTCACATTAAGGCATTCTTAATGCTTATACTGGCTCTATGGTAAGATGTTGTTTGAGATTAGATTTTTCCAGGCCACATAATAATATATAGTTGTGTAGTGTGGCAAGGTTATTGACTAAATAATTGTGAACAGTGAAAGATTGTGAACTAATTACACTTTAACGATGATCCTATGATTTCTAGATTAAAATCACAGATGGTGGTCCTGTTCAAAATGGGGCCTAGTACAAGTAATTAAATACTGTGCATGTAGTCACTACAATATTTTGGGGGCTTTTTACTGTGAAATAAATACATTGTAATGCTCAATATTTGTATTCAAAGCTTGCTGGTTTGGGTCCTGTTGACAAAATGGCCTAATTAAAGACTCTGCATGTACTTACTAG